AGTCTTCGGGCACTACACCAGAGCACCAAGAGTTTTCAAAGATCCGTGCTAGAGGCTGGGCTATGATGCTCGCCAGCTCCTTGAGTACCCTGGGGTGAAGATTGTCAGGGCCGGCTGACTTGAAGGTATCCAGCTTCTCAAGATGTTCCTTCACAAAGTCAGCATTAATGGAGTGCAGGGGATCACCCTCACCCGGACTTCCCGGCCCTGTAGCGGGCATGGGCGTCCCATGGGACTGATGAAAGACCGACGCAAAGTACCTATTTAATAGGTTGGCTTTTTCCTGTTTTTATTAGGCTACTGCACAGTAAATTATCTCATGTAGATGCACCCTGCATGTTCCATCTTCCCTTTGGCTGCCTTGACCAATCTTGTCCTGCACTAGCAAATGGAGCTTGGTCCTGCCACACATCAAGCTCAGTCTCACCTTTACCCCTTCAATGAGTCTTCATACTGTAAGTAACTGATTTTTTTTTCTCTCTAATTATAGGATTCCTTATTGTTCACTAACTGCATCAGCATTTATAAAAAAATCTTTTTATTTCTTTCTAGAATTACTTGTTATTAAATTTATTCACTGAACCCTTGTTCCTGTTTCATAGGACAGAATGAAATGGAGATTATCAATCCCTTTAAATATGTATATAATTTTCAAAATTTTTCATTCAAGTGTATGGGGTTTTTTAAATGCTGTATGCTTTTTTTCCTATCAAAATAAGTGTTCATAAGAGACATCAGTTGTTTATGAAAATCTGAAATTTGTTTTTTTCTCCAATTTTTGACAATTAACAATTTATCACACTTTTTTTTTTCCAGCAACCAGTAAGTGAAACTTTGGATGGTGAAATTTTTTAAATATCTGAAACTTTTTTTTTCATGTCCCAACAAACTAGAGAACAAAACATTTTGGAAGACTTTTTTAGTGTATACCCTTCACAAGAATGGCTTATATACCATATAAAGTAGCTGGCTCTTCTCTATTCACTACCAAGTAATCCTGGTTTTTCTGATTTGTTTATCCCCCCCATCATCAAGTCGCACTCAGACTTATAATGATCTTGTTTTCCCTTCTCTGGTACATTTTTTTTTTTTATATGAGAAATGGTGTATCCAAATAATTGGAAGAATATGTACAGTGGCTTATGGACTGTCATTTTGGGAAAGGTCTGAATCTGTTCAAAGAGGTAGGACAAGGTGGGAACATCTATATGAGAACTAGTTTACTGTGCAGCAATGCATCACCTGTAACCGTGCACAGCAGCTACTGTGCAGTAAATTAGGCTAATGTGAGGTTTTCTGCTACCAGTAAATACAGATAGTAGATTATCTGCACACTGTCTAACACGCATGTACACAGCTGACTGGGAGCAAATTGCAGCAAGGGGTGGGGGGAACTGTTTCCTCCCCAAGCAGCTGCCTTCCAGCCCCACACCCTGATTAGCAGATTAGGGCACAGGGCTGGGAAGCTGTTGTGCCCCTACTGGGAGTGGACAGTTTCCCAGCCCTCTGCCCCGATCTACCATTTGGACCACAGGACTAGGAAACAGCTGCTGGGGGAGGTTTCTCAGTCCCATGCCCCAATCTGCCTGTGTCCTGCGCAGCTCTCCCCTCCCTCTATGGCCCTCTGCTGTCTGGACTAGCATCTAGATGTGCAGTATGATGCATTCATTAATTGCTGTGTTATATATATATATATGCACGCACACAGGTACTATAAATATATATACAGGTACTATAAAATGGTGCATTAGACTAATATACTGTGCAGTAATTGCTGCACACATGTAGATGGTGATGCTTTGCTGTGCAGTAGGTTAGCCTATTGCACAATGAAGTATCTCGTGAAGACGTACCCAATGGGGTGCACTCTTAGTCTAAGAGAAATATCTCTGAGTTCCATGTGGCTTGGAGCTGCCCCCAGAACCAGGGACAGCTGTCCCTCTTCCTCAGGAGCTTGGGGCTAAGGCAAGTATGAGGGGAAGAGAGCAGGACAGGAGAAAGGCCCTGAGAAACTTGAGCAGGAGGAAGTACTTACCTCAGGTGCTAAGAGCAGCCTGGCTGGAACAATGAGTACATTTTTGTAGTGTGTGCTCCCTCCAGATTGGTGGAGGGAGCACAAGAATGGATATTTCTTGCCCCGGAGAGGAGCAGCCAGAAGAGGACTGGGTGCTAGTAGGTGTAGGGCTTGGGTCTCTACTTAACCGGTGCCCTGCCCCACAGCAATGTCAAGGTGGGACCCTAAGTTTGCACTACCTGCGTGTTCTGGTTGCTGTTTCTGGTAGGTGGCCCATTGGGTCTCTCACCTGGGCTTCTTCATGGGGCTCCAATCTCCCCTTTACTCCACCCTTACCACATCCACAGTTGAGATGGACATCAATCTCTGGAGGTCTCTCTTATAGATAATAACATCTCATCTGTACAGTTCCACCTCAGAAGTTCAGCAACCTCCTGGCCATCAGCTCTCTGTAGGCAGTCCTTCATCTGTGGACTTTGGCCTTTGCAACTAAACTCACTTCAATCTTGAGGTAACAGAAAACCTACGAGTAACGACAACAGAAAATGATCAGCATCTGCTGATGGGCCCCTGGGTCTTGCCTCCCCTGCCTGGGACTTTTTGACTTCCCCTTTTTAAGAGCTGCCTTGCAGGCTCGGCAGCTCCCAGCTGCACCCCTGGCAGTCCTCTTGTGGGTCCCTTCTCTGGGTCCCTGCCCCTTCCCACCTTGGCCTTGCCTGACCTGAGGCTGGGCTTTCCCAGTCACTCCAGCCAGTGTTCCCATCGCTCACCTTGGCAGCCCCACACAGCTCTTCACCTTGTGCAGGCCCTGGGCTGTCATAGCCCCATGGCCCCACCGCCTGTCCTGCTGTCTGGTGCAGTTCCCGGCTCTCACCCCTCCTCAGGGGGTCCACAGCACACAGCCCGTTCCTCCTGGCCCCGGTGCCACCCGCCTCTCCCTTACCATGCCCACTAATGGCCCCTCCACGCACTCTCCCACTCAAACTCCTGTGCTGACTCACATGCCGGGCCCAGAGCACACCTGCTTGTGTGGCTCCGGTCACGTGACTCCCTGGGGGGCCCTCCTCAGCCCCAGTCCACTGCCCCCCACCACTGTCTGGTTACCAGCCATGGTCCCCCGCTTATCTCCTGGCTCCGTGCTGGGGGTTGGGGATCATGGGGGTCCGCCGGGGGGATCTGAGGCTCTCAGGGGTCGTGACGGGCTTTTGCCTATGCATCTCCACCAGAGAGTCAGTCCCAATTGAAGTTTTACTTCAGTTGGGTCCCTTAAAAGTTTGAATCTCTCTGGAAAACTTTTATATCTGCCTCTTGCGGGATGTACTTTTATAAACTAACTAAATGAGAGATATGTAGCATAAGCTTTCAGGAGCCCAATCTCACTTTATCAGAGCCTGTGAAAAGACATGCACAGAGCAGTGTATACAGTAGAGACTGTGGTCTGATTACAAAAGATAAGGAGGGGGGTAGGTGCAGTGCTGGAAAAGGAAAACAAGCGATAAATTCATAGGAACAAATGGGTCACAAAAACTAATCCAGGTAATGGGATAAGAATCCATAATCTATGTATAGACCCTATGTAGCATCATTCAGTCTTTGGATAGTTTTTTGTTCTGCAGTTCCCTGTTTTTAAGTTGGTTTGTAAACTTTTTCTACGAACAGCTACTCCTGAGGTCAGTGGTGGAATGTCCTGGGAAATTAAAGTGTTCTGCCACAGGCTTGTGTATTTTTCTGGAATTGATATCAGATCACTGCTCATTCACTTTTATGCTTAGGGATCCTCCTGTCTGTCCAGTGTAGACAGCAGAAGGGCACTGTAAGAAAGAGAGAGCATATATGATGTTGGTAGATTTGCAAGTGAATGAACCTCAGGTGTTCTAATCTGTGTTATTTGGTCTAGTGATGATGTAATTTGTGTTGATGAAGGGGCACAAATGGCATCTGGGTCTGTTGCTAGGCCTGGTGCCTTGATGAAAGCATGGAAAGTATGTCATGTTGAGTGTCTGCTTATACTCTTCTCACAGGAAGGGGTGCTATCTGGCCTATCCTTATTTTTCCCAGTACACAAAAGTACACTACATGCCACTGAGAACCAACTAAGGAAAGCTTCTCCCCCAAAGATCTTGCTGCACCATCATAGGCAAGATGCAAGGAGTGATACCACAGAAAACAGTGGGGTAGCAGCAGGTGGGAAAGGCAAATGTGATGGTAGTTTCATGTAGTTAGTTAGGTTTTGTTCATTGAGTAGAGGTTTAAGTAATTTTGGATAAAAAGGGATATTTGCTTGGAGACTTAAAGAATTGAGAGGTGGTGATGGAAACAGGTCAGAAGGAGAAGGATAAAGGGAGATGTAAGATGTCACAAGAAGGGAATAATCAAATGGAAGAAAAAAAGAATTCCCATTGCATTCTTCAACTCCGCTTCCTTTCCCCTTTCCAAAGCCCCCTTAGTTTTGTAATACATTTCAGAGAAGATCCCAGATATTCTTGATCTTCTTAAGATTGTATTATCACCTGATTTAAGATCCTATGAGCCACAATCTGCCTGCCTCACATTTTGTATAACTTTGGAGTGTAAAGCAGGGCAACATTTTGCTATAACATAAATCCCCAATAGATGTAAATTGCCATAGCCCCATTGATTATTAAAGCTCCATATAGCTGAACTAGGTTGTAGGTCTTCTGTATGTTTGTAAATTGCACAACATGATGTAGCTGTAATGATTTAGTAAATAATCTCTGTTTGGTAATTCACGAAGCTCTCATTAACAATGCTAATAAGGGCTGAGTTGATTAACTGCCAACTGTATTTTGCTGAATACATTTAAACTTAACGGAAAAACATATAAGGAATCAGTTGCTTTTTATTAAGGCAGTGACAAGAATGCAGAGGTCAGAATTATTTAATAAGCTTGTGCTTACAAAGGGTGTGCTATGGCTGCTGTTCTTGTCTTTCTATGTAGAGTTTTCAGAACACTTGGTACTTCATGTCAAGAAGTCTAGGAAGAAAGAAAAGCACAGGAGATTGAGTCTTTCCTATTGTAAAGGTCAAGTTAAAGGTCTAGGTGAGAAATAACAAAGTTAGCACTTATCAATACTACTACTAAAAGAAATTCTTGATAAGTTTTTCCTTGTTTTACTGAGGTTTATGTTGTGTTATCAGTAGTTGGAGGGATATACAGGATATGGACTAATTATCCTGTTAAACAAAGGCACTGATTGTGGTAATTTTTCCTTTGCTTTTCATTCCAGATGTTGGATATGGGAACTCAGCGCCCTACTGCGGCCAAATTGGATGTTCCTGATCATGTTCTTTACACAGTTGGAACCTGTATTCTTGTAATCGGATCCATTGGAATTATAGGCAACCTCTTAGTTATTTATGCATTTTACAGGTACAAGAATTCAGTTTCAGATGAGACCAATGACTTGAGGTTCTGTCTTCTCTGTGTATATAGGTGTGTGTTGCATGTGAGTGATCTTTCTGAATCAGTTTCCTCTATTACTAACTCTGCAATTTATTGGTTGTGGAAATACTCATGGATATATATATATATATATATATAATATCACTGGGAGCTTTATTGTAGATCTCCTTTCCCTCTGATTAGTTTAAAACATTGAGAAAATAAGCTTGGGACTTGTTTTCTGATAAAGTATACCTAAAAATTTGAAGGCAGAATAGAGATGAACCTCATAGACTAATTGGATCAAAGATGCTTAAGTGTGCTGTTCTAGGTTTTTGTGTGTCTTTTAGATTTGATGTTAGGTCAGTGCCCCTCATTCTTTCATGCAGGGACTGCCCCTTCTGTCCACTGTAGGCAGCAGAGAGGCACTGTAAGCAGGCGATGTCATATGTGATGTTGGTAGATGTGCAGGTGAATGAATATTCAGTGTTATAATCTGAGTTATTGGTCCAGTGATGACAAGCCCTGTACTGATGAGGGGGGCACAGTTTGTGCCTGTGTCCACTGCAAAGCCTTGTGCCTCAGTGAAAACAGGAATTAGGTAGCCTGGTGCTTGAGAGATGCTGTTTGAGGTTGAGGGTTTATGAGCCAGGACAGGTTTAGCTCACAAAAGGTTTTTGCTACCGCCACCACAAACCAGCCCAGTGAGCTTCCCTGCCTCGCCCCGGCCCTGCTTCTGGGAGGCAACTTGCTCCATCCGTACCCGCCCACTTGCCATCCCCACCTTCCTGCTCAGCATCTGGCTGCATGCCAACCCCCTTTGCCCCTGGCTTAGCATCTGACCACTCGCTACCCTGCACTCCCATCCCCGGCTCAGGGTCCGACCGCCAGGGATACTTAGTCTAAAAAAGTTTGAAACCCCCTGGTGTATTTCAAGAAACTGTTGTTTGCTGTATAGAAATATCCCTAGAGTAGAGCAGGGAGGAGTAAACAAAGTACTATTCTCTCTGCATCAAAAATCAATATCCTGTGCCTTAGGCCTCTCAGTTCAGCAGAGTTCCGAATCACATGCCTACTTCTAGTGCATAAGTAACCTTCAAAATAGGCTGACTGTTATCACTTCTCAGTCTGAAGGAAGTGCAAGCATATCAAAGTTAATAACATACTTAAAAAGCCTTTCTGTTTAATACCATAACATAAAATGGTATTAATTGTTATTTAAAATAATTAGCTTTTAAACATGGCAATGTGCCTTTAACCTCACACACAGGAAAAAGCTTGGGAAAGTTTGGGTTTTGTGAAAATTGTGAAGTCAACAATTTTAAAGTAATTTCAACCTTTTTTAATGTTTGATCCATTCTGCAAATGAACCTGTTACTGAACATAGTTTGTTGTTCCTTTTATTTGTCATGATAAGACTTTTAGTGTGCAATCATGTTTAGTGCTGCTGCCTTGTTAAATTGTTTTTGTAGAATATTGTCCTCAGTTATATGATAGCAGCAGCAAAGGTGTGAACTAACTCTCTAGACCTCCTGTAGCAAATTCAGTACAGTGAGTTGTGAATTTCATAATCTAATTGGCATAATAAGTGCTAATTACTCTCTCGGATTTTTTTTTTTAGAACGAACAACAACAAAAAACCCTTTAAATTGTCAATATTTTAAAAAATTGTAAACATATTTTGGTGGTGTCATGACCCAAAGGCATGATTTTGTGTGTGCTTCGGCACCAGAATTATCCCCACCAAGTTGCAGAGCATTGCACGGGAGTGTTTCCTGTTGCAGAGGAAAACCCCGATGCAGGGACGAGTTTCCCGCCTTTTCTGCAGCTTCTTTTGCAGAGTGCATTGCTCAAGTTGCAAGAGGAATGCACGGTGCAAAAGAGTTCCCGCCACCGGTATGCAAATTTGTTCCCCGTGATTGGCTAGTGCTAAATTATTCACACGTGGCGGCTAACGATTTGCCTGTTAGCCGTATAAGAGGCTTGAGCGGTTTCCGCCCAAGCCGAAGAGGACTCCACATCCATCTCGTGGGGACTCTGGGTACACGGCAGGGTAATAGAAACCCTGTGTGAGATCCAGAGGAGCTTGGCGGCCTGATCCACCGCCCACCTCTTCCCGTCTTCGAGCGCGACTTTTATAAGACGTATCTACGATTTCTATTTTGGTGGCTTGTTCACCCAGAGCATCCGGAGCTCTGCACCGTGGAGCCTAGCAACCTCCACGAGACCGTCTGTGTTGTCTGTCTGTAACTGCAACTCAATCAAGTTTTCCAGCCTACACCACTGCCATCTCAGTGTAAGTAAACAATCTTTAAAACT